CCATATAGACCTAGCCTTCTCATGGAGCATTGACACTCAATACCAGGGCAGGCCCTCAGAGCTGGCTCGATTCCCCTGAGGTCCCTCAGCTGGTGTAAGACAGACCCAGGGCTGAAGCCCAGGCTTCTTACTCCTAAGCCAGTGCTTTGTGTGCTGATCTGTGTTGCAGTTCTACATTTCTTTGGTGGAAGTGGGGTATTTCCTCTAAAGTGCCATCTGCTGTGGTTGAAGGCTGGGGGCACCTGGGGGATTTATCTAGTAAACAGCCTTGACACCAGTGAATAGGCTGAATTTTATGACTCCACCCTGTGGGATAATTCATTGTTCTTCCCTTCCTATTGGCAGGGCTTCCCCTTTGTGAATTCTATAGGAATGGTGAAGTGCTTCTCATGGAAACATGGAGAAATTGCTCTGAGCTGCTTGGCTATATGGCAGCTGTGGTTAACATCAGGAGTCGCAGTCACAGAACAGCTTCAGGCCTTGGCTCAACCACTGCTTCACAATTCTGTTTCCTTTTGCTCCTCTGCACAGTGGGATGAAAATAACAATGTCTAGCCTAATTCCTAGGATTGTGTTGATGATTAAATGATACGTACACTTTGCTTGATACAGAACATACACCCCATTGTTAGCTTTCCTATCACCTGAAAGTATTCCTTGGTCACTCTGGTCTTCTTGTCATAGTGTGTTCAATACCATCAGCTCTGGGGACTTAATTCTCACACTTATTAACTGGATTTCCATAATAGTGCCTAAGGATTTTACAGTTCCCATTTTCTAGGAAAAACATAATTTCTATGAAATTAATTTATCTGGATGTCTTTTGTGGGTTTATTTTGGTTAATAAATCTTTTCAAAAAGAGAGTGAGGTTCTTAAGACAGAAATTGGGACTGGGCGCATGTGGAAATGACTGGAGTCATGAGGGTGGTTATTGAGGTGAGGTGGAAGGAAGGCCAGGGGAGGGAGGGTGTAATGATTCTGGGAGTTTGAATGGGGTAGAGAAATGACTCAGACTCTCCAGAGAAAGAGAACAAAAGGCTGGTTAGGATGAGGGTTGCTTCTGCAAGTGGGTCGAGGGTAGGAAACTAGAATAGCTTTTATTTATGTGATTCTGTACTGTGTGCCTCTTTTACATTGAGTATGTAAATAGCTTTATTTGAATATATTTTTACTTTACTTTCCCCCTTTGCAGCTGGCTGCTGGTTGACAGCCTCTTCTGTAGGCAGCTGTGAAGGAGGGCCACTCAGGCCCTGGGGAAGACCAGGACTTGGTCATCCCTACCCTGTTAATCCTGGGCTGGGAGGGGAACCTAGACCTGTCCTTAGCTGGCTCTGGGCACATGGCTTGGAGGAAATGGAGGATCCATATCACAACTCTCTCCCAGGTACAAAGATTAGGGAGGCCAAAAAAGAGGAAATTTCCACTTATTTAGCTCTTATTGAATGCCTGATACCATACTAAACTCATTTAATTCTTATTACAATCCTGAGAAGTGGGTATTTACATTTAAGGGACAGGCTCAGAGACTGAATAACTTACCTAAGGTCACAGACCTAGGAAGGTGGCAGGGCTGGGATTCAAACCCAGTCCTATGTCACGCCAAAGTTCTTGGTCTTTCCTGTCTCCAAGCTGTTTTCCAATCCCATAGCCTTTCCAGGCTGTACTGGAGACAGGATAAGGTGGGGAGCTTCTTATGTCCTCATTATTATTCAAAGTCAAATACCCAGAATCTAGGAAGATATTTTCATTTCCTGGATGGGAGACATTGACACAAAGCCTGACCTGTGTTGAACTCTTAAGTCAATCTCTGTCCTTAACAGAATATTCTGACCTTTCCAGCCTTCTCTTCTGTGTGTGCCCCCCCCCCCAATGCATTGTATTATGGTTAGATCTGATTGGTCTGTTACATACTTTTTGCTAAATTATATGGACTTGGTTCATGCCCCAGGTCTTGAAAATAGGATGTGGAATGTTTATTTTCAATTTGTAAAATTTGAAAAGCAGAATCCAGGTTGAATACCCCAATGTGAAAGTCTGAATACCCCCAAATCCAAAAGATTTTGAGTGTTGACACGATACCACAGTAAAAACTTTCATACCATGAAACCATTACATGCACAAAATTATTTAAAATATTGTATAAAATTACCTTCAGTCTTTATGTGTAAGACATATGAAACAAATGAATTGTGTGTTTAGACTTGGGTTCTGTTCCTAAGATACTTCATTATTTAGCTGAAATTATTTCAAAATTTGAAAAACTCAAAATCTCAAGCATTTCAAATAAAGAAAGTCAACCTGTGGTAGAACGCTGAGCAGAGTTCTAAATGCTGTGTCTCTGTATCATCCCTACGAAGTTAGTACTGGTACTAGCAGCTGAAACTTAGAGGGCTAGCCTGCAAGTAGTAAAGTGTGTTTCCAGTCAGGGTAGGCTCCACATTCTCTCTTTATCTCTGAGTGATAATTTGGGCCTTCATATCAGAGATGTCTAAATCTAGTTCCAGTTGCACAACCATGGGTGCCATAACTTCTCTGTTCCTCAGATTTCCCCCTCGATGAAATGAGGGCTGCTGTGTTTATTATAACTTAATTAATGTTATAGGAATAAAGCTTCTATAGCAGGGCCTGTTACAATGGTAAGTGCTCAACAAATTTGAGCTGTTACTGGGCATCCTGGTGTTTCCTGGATTGAGAGTACTCTTCAAGTGCTCCTGGCTCTGTGCTTACCCATGGCCTTGACAGCAAGTCATTTAACCTGAGACACACTTCATTAAAGGGGATGAAAAGTAATTCTTATCTCACTAGTAAATGAGATAATAATTGTATTTGTCACATAGCACTTAATAAGTTTGGCTGTGAGCCTTAATACCATTTCTCCAAGGTGCCCTGGAAAATTAAGCGTGATTTTTACAGCAAGACTTACTTGTTTGAATCCTGGAGAGCAGAAATACTGGAAGCCCTGGCATTAATCAGGCCCCCAGCTTTGGAAAGAGCCTCTTCAGCACTGATGTTTCTAATTTCCATCCTCAGAGTGCCCACAATGGGTACCCCAGCCTCTGTGGTGAGTGAGCCGCTCCCTTGGCAAGCCCCCATTGAGGCCCGGGGTCGTAAGCAGGCCTCAGCCAACATCTTCCAGGATGCTGACCTGCTGCAGATCCAGGGCCTGTTTCAGCGCAGTGGGGACCATCTGGCAGAGGAGCGGGCCCAAATCATCTGGGAGTGTGCAGGGGACCACCGAGTGGTGGAGGCCCTAAGGAGGCTGCGTAGGAAGAGACCCCCAAGGCAGAAACCCCTGGCTCACTCACTGCACCACTGCAGCCGGCTCAGGTGGGTACCTGGGACTGGAGGGCTGAGGGAAGGGGTGCTAATGATGCCAGCCTCACTATGTTCTGGATGCATGACCTAGAACCAGTTGCTTGGCTTCACTGTACCATGAGTTCTGTTAAGTGGTTTTAATGTCTACACAGTGCCACCACCTGACAGGCACTAACCACTTCTGTTACTGTTGTGAACTCCTGAGGGTGCCTGGTTCCAATCAGCACCTCCTTGCTTTGCCTTGATTCTTGGCCAGGTGGGAGGGAGTATTATTACAGTTCATAATTCTTTTTACCTATAGTAAAATAGGTTACATTCAAAAGTAAGACTGGTTAAGACCTTAGCTGTGGGAGTAGAGAATGTTCTGGGGATATGCTACAGGACATCATGGGTTACAAGTTGTAGAAACTTCACCTTGAGATAGCATCTCCCCAATTTCTCTAGTCATCCACCTCATTGCATAGGTCACAAGAACTCCGGTCTCATTTTGCTCTAAACAGTGTTTTGTAGTCCATTGCGACGAACATCTCCTGAAGCCCCCATCTTGTCCTCCTTGGCTTATCGTACCTTTGCTCCCAGCAGAATCCCAGAGCCCTGCTCTCCACTGGCCAATGCACAGAGCAGTTCCCCCGAGACAGCCTCCAGTGAGCAGCATTGGAACTCCAGGAGGACAAGTGCCAGGATCCGCCGGAACTGGAGGAAACCAAGCCCCACAGGCTACCTTCACCAGATCAGACACTGATCCCAGGCTGGGAATGGCAAGATCTTCCCCAGGAATCATGGGAACTTTACCAAAGGCCTGGGAGGTGAAGTCGGAAGACCTGAGATAGGCAGCCCTGCACAGATAAATGAAAGGAAGAGGCCACTAACACTAGCCTACTCAACTCAGAACAGGACTGGAGGTTTCCCCTGGGCTCTACACCATGTGATACCCATTCTTACAAGAGTGAGAAGACACAGACTGTTCCTGCCTCAGCCCTTCTTGATCTAACACTATAACCTGGCCTGCATGATATTCTCCTGGAAATCAAACAGGCACTCAGATGCAGCGCCTCACCATGTCTGCCCTAATCTGCTGGCTACTACTGTCACTCATAGTCCAGCAGCCTGTCCTACATCCCTGATGCTGTCAGGCCAGTGTAAGAAAACCATGGTTTAAGCGGCAAATAAAAACACTTGCATCAAGAACTGTGTGAGTCTGTTATGGAAGGAGAGAATCCTGAAATGGAGACTCTGAAGCCAGAGAGGGAGGGACAGAAGTTCCCCAGGAGGGAGGAATCAGGGTTGGCCTCTACTGCCTTCTTACCCCATTCCCTGAAGCTCCTGTGACACAGCCTTGTTCTTCCAAGGCCATGGGACCCGAGAGGGACAGGAAGGTTTTGGCAGGCAGTCTATGTGTTCATTAGTTTCTTCTTCCCCTTCCCTATCCCACAAGCTAGATCATCCATCACTCCGAGTCAGGGCTGAATGGGGCAATGGTATATACACAGGGCAGGCTTGCCCTCTGGTGGCCAAGAAGAAAAGCCACTCTCACTTAAGCATAATCCACTTCTTATTCCAAAGCCCTGGAGCTAGATGATTTTGACATACAAAATGTTTTTGTTTTTTCGGAAATAGGGAAAATATGGTCCCTAATAAGAACCATAAAATCTCATAAAAGGGAATAACATTTCTGCAACAAATATTCACACTAAGAGATACATATGAATAATAATAGCATCATATCAATATAGGCTCAGTAAGGTTTTGAAATGAGTCATGAAAATACTTTTGGTTTTCCAAGCACTGGAACTGTGGAAGTGAAAGACCTGTAAGGAAGCTCTACTAGGGGAAAAGAGCCCCAGCAGCCATGTCTCTGCAACTCCATGGAAACATAGGTTTCTTTGTCCTTAAAACTGCATTCTACCTTCTTTGTCTTCCTTCCCCCAAAGAGAACTGGACAAAAAAGGTCAGAATTGGATTTGTTATTCATACATTTGCATTGATTTAAATACATTACATACAATTTCTACAGTGCATTAGAAGAATGATAATGGGGGCAACAGCACTCATAGCCCAGCCTCCACTCCCTCTGGGGGGACAGGCTTATGCCTGGCAGAGAGACAGGCCGTCTGAGAGTGCCACCAGAAGCCTGCCCCGGCACTCAAGGCCCCTAGCTCTCCCAAAGTCCACATTCAAGGCAGCCTGAGTATAGGCTTCAAAGGAGAGAGGAGACCGGCCAGGAAAGGATGCCCTGCACTCTTGCCTTCCAGACCTGGGACTGGCTCCCTTTTACATTGGACCCAATTTCCTCCCGACTACAGAGCTGGTCTGAAGCAGGACAGTACAGATGTAGCTGGTAAAGTACCAGGCTCCTCTTCAGGTGCCTCTGGCTCTCCCAGGCACCCAGGTAAGGAGTCTTGCCAGCATGTTTGCATGAAGACGTCTTTTCTGCAGAGGGCTACCCACACTGGGTCCCTGCTGGCTCCTGTGGTCAGGAGGCAGGTATTCTCTCAAACCTGGTTCCCAAAGCCAGAGTCCAGGTGGGCTAGATGGGATTGTCAGGGCAGGGCAGGCAGGAGAATGGTGCCTTTGTCCTCAGGGCATGCATATCTAGCACTGAGACCTTCCTGTCAGCTGGTGGAAGCCCAGGACAAGCTGGTTCCTGGGGGGGCTGGAAGGGATGGGAAGTGGCCTAGCCCAACTGACAGGAGGGCTGCATGTCTTTGCTTTGTATCCTGGATGGTAGGAGCTGTTCAAGCAGAGTGCACACAGCCATAGTCCTCACTCCCTTTCTTTGGTTGTTTTTCAAACCTTCAAAATACTTTCTTTCCAAGGCTGATTGACCAATCGCAGGGTGCTAGAACCACAAAGTGTCCATAGCACATGAACACAGCTGCCCCTCACCACAGGTGACAGCTTTTTACTCCCTCCTGAGGCCATTCTTTGCTTTGGTGTAGAAAGGGCTTGAACACCTGGCAAGCAGGGCAGCTGGGGAAAAGACACATAAAAGCAAGAAGATGCACACTGAGCTGGGCAGGCACTGGGGGACAGTTTGAAGACCTTTCTGCTTTGGGCCTTGCCTTTCTCAAGAAGCCAGGGACAAACAAATCCAGGATAATAAGCCAGGGAGAAAAGGGAAACTGCCAATTAGGAGGCAGAATGCAAGTCTGGTTGCCAATACAAGCAGCAGTGGGAGCACATAAAGAAGTCCAAGGACCTGATGATATCCTGTCCTCTTATGAGCTGAGACCACCCCAGAGCAATCCATTCTACAACCTGAACAGAACTCCTAAGTCAAAAAAGCTAGGGGGAAATATTTAAAACAACAAATTAGAGAAGGACTGGCACTAAAGATTCAGGAAGCAAGACTGGGAAAATTCACCCATAGCCACTTACAGCTCCCAGTGTGTACCTAGGCCATATGGATCACAATCACGTGCTGGACATCAACTTTCTATTAAAACAGAAATTCTAAGAGTAGCCCCTCATGCCTCTGCTTGAGTAACAGGCAAGCTGCATCAGGCAGAGAGCAGAGAGGTTCTGTAGGTCATGTGCAGAATCACTGAGAGCTGCAGAGCAAAATCCTGCGCACCACAAGAAGCCAGCCTACTGCCAGTAGAAAGAGAAGGAAAAGATTTGGCAAAAACCCAAAAGGAAGCTGTGGCTTCTGTCTGTCCCAAAACTAGGAGCCACCCAGTGGCCCTGTAACACAGCCTTGTTTCATTGGAGTAAGCAACTGCCAGGCACCTGAATGTCTGGGTCTATGCAAATTTAGGTCTGGATTAAAGGCTTATGACATGAGAGGATCTGGGTTCTGCTACAAGCATTTAAATTTGTTTTTGTTGTCGTTTTCTGATGCAGAATATAATAGGGAATTACAAAGGAGCAGGGTGTCAGGGAGGTAGGGACTTTCCCAGCCTGCCACAGGAGATGCTGGAAGGGAGGTGCTCCTTCTAGCCACCTGGACTTCTGGCCTGGAACTCCAGCCTCCCCTCAGAAGGGCCCAAGAGTACTCTGGTCCTTGATTGTGCTTCTCCCTGTGGGTGAGAAAGCCCTGAAGGAGGTGACTTTGAGCAGAGAGGGAGGACTGGTAAAGGCTGCTCTCCACAGGCTTCTCTGGCTTCCTTGTACCCAGCTCCCAGGCTTCCTCCCAGCCCATGTCTCACACAGCATTTCCTCTGCCTGCCTCTAGGGCTACCACCATGAGAAGAAGGGCTTCCGACTCTGAAAGCTCTGTGTGTAGGACTCGCTAGCAGACCGCTGGTGGGATCGGGCAGTCTCAACAATCACAGGTGGCATCTGGACGAGGTGCAGAGGACTCTTGTTGTCTTTCAGGGCCTGGGTCAGATTTAGGATCTGCAGTGGGAAAAAGGAGACAGATGAGAGAGGCCTAGGATTCCAGATCTTCCTCTGCAGACAGGCCAGCAGACAAAGCACTCCTATAAATCAATAAAAAATAAACACACCAACAGGTGCCTTGGCTCACACCTGTAATCCTAGCAACTTGGGAGGCTGATAAGAGGATTGAAAGTTTGAGGGCAGTCTCAGCAACTTAGCAAGACCCTATTTCAAAATAAAAAATAAAAAGATTTGAGATCTAGGTCAATGGTAAAGTTCCCATTGGGTTCAATCCCCAATACCAAATAATAAAAATAAAAAATAAACACACCAATGGAAAATCATACAAGTAGACTATAAAAGTAGAAATACGAAGGGACAACAAACAGAAAATGGTAACCTCTCTAGTTATTTTAAAAATACAAATGAAAAGCCAGGCACACTGGCCCGTGCCTAAAGTCCCAGCACTCAGGAAGCTGAAGCAGAAGGATTACTTGAGTCCAATAGTTTAAGCCTGGGCAGTATAGTAAGATCCATCCCAATTAAAAAAAAAAAAAAATGAAAACAAATACCTCCCCTATTTTTTTGCCCTTCCATTTAGTAAAAATAGTGATGATGACTCAGAGGTGGGGAGAGCTCAGTTAAATAGACAGGTTTGTGACCTTTTTTCCCTGTTCTATTGGAGATTTCTATGGGGTAGAGGTTCATTTTGCTTTGGTATGTGAACAGCAGACAAGTACAGGTGTGAATGACTTCTTGCATGTTGGGAGAAACTAGATGCTTATAGAACCTTACAGTGTTAAGGAGTAGGTACTTAGTTATGTGAAACTTGCTTAAACCAGACTCAACTTGTCTCTCTCTCTCTTTTTTTTTTTTTTTAAATGTGGTACTAGGGATCAAACCCTGGGCCTTTTGCAAGCTAATCATATGATTTACCACTGGGTTACATTTCCAGTCCTTGACTATCATTTTGAAAGGTGAATTGGCTGAGTAAGATTCCTGATTTTCCAAGAGTCAGCCTACTATAAGACAGTTTCCTGAGTCTATGACACAGTCTGGTCCTATAATTTTCTACCTTCAGCCTCCTGTCAACAAAACCAAAGTTTCAAAGTATGTAATGAAAGATCTGACTACCTTTCTGCTTGATTCCTTAAAAGTTTCCCCTCCTCTGTCCCTTGCTGGAACATACTTTAGGTCTGCCCTTGGTTGTGTGTACAAATTGTGATTCCTATTCTTGAATAAGTACTTCCTTTGCTTATATTATAGCCTGGTGCTTTTTCAGCTGACAGTTATGACAAAAGCCACTCTGAAGATAAAATTGCACTCCCCCACAATCTCCCCTACCTTTTGCTACCTTGAATAATGGCCCCAGTTGGGTATAATGGGAGGAGGATTGCTATGCTGTTGGCAAGGGACTGAGTTGGGAAGGGACTGGAGAAGTTGGTGCAATATGGATGGAAGCACATCCTACATAAGCTTGGGAAGCAAGCTTATTCTTTTACATTGAATTCTCTGACAAGAGTAAATCGTGATTTTTAAGGTGACTTTGAGGGAGGTGACTTTGATTCTGCCAGCCTAATTAGGTCTTAACTTTACTTAGGAAAGCTAGGAAGACCACATTACAGTTTTCAAACAACTATAATAATAACAGTTCTTCAACCATTTCATTTTCAGGGAAAATGGACTCAATGAGCCCAAGAGGTGCTCTCAGCAAAAGCCCTTAGCTAAATGGTAGGAAGAAGTAAATGTAAGATTATGTCTGGGAGAACCATACTATCCTTTAAAGATGTGAGAAGCTAACTTTCTATATATAAAATCATAATTATAATAGCTATCATGTATTGAGTACTCCAAGTACTACTATACCTATTTCAAATAATTTGTCTCATAATAACCATAATGAAATAATTATTCATTAATTCCATGACACAAATGGAGAAATGAAGTGAAGGAGACATTAAGGAATGTGCCCAGGTTGGCCTCATAGGTAGTAAATGGCACAGCAAGGCATCAAATCCAAGCAGTCTAACTGGTTTGTGCCCTTAACTCCTAGGCCATCCCAGAAGACCTTTTAAGGACTTCAAAGTGATATGCATGATGCCAGTGCCCTACAGAGCTTTCAAATCATTGTTCAAACATATTTTTTACTATGCTTCTGGAAGATTAATAATGCCCTGAGTTTCTGTGGCTCCCTTTGAAAGTGAAAGTGGAAGGCAAGGAATAATACAACTTGAACTCAAAAATGTTATAACTACAGTCAACGTGAGAGTGCTTACCATGTGCCAAGTGTTATTTTTACTTATAGCTTGATATGCATTATCTCAGGCAATCCTCTGTCCAATTGTGCAAAGTATTCTTGCTAACCTATTTTATAAACAAGAAAACAGAGGCTCTTGCCCAAGATCCGAGAGCTTGTAAGTGGTGAGGTGATCTGACTGCACATACCAGCTCTTAACCACCAAGGTATATGGCCTGTCTTGAGCAACTTGAAGACAGGGAGCACTGGCTTATTTACCAATAATTTATCCAGCAACTGGCACAGAGATATGACTGTAATGAGTGCTTCAGCAAGCACTGGATCCCATGGAAGAAGTTGGAGATTGGACAGTACTACCTTTCTTCTCTCATGTGTTTGGACATAGTCACAAACATGTATGGCACAGACTGAAAAGTATATAAAACACAAGTTTTATACATTTGCTCAGATGAACACATAAGCACATAAGAATCTGGAGGATGGTGCAGGCTTACCTGTCCCCGCATGACAGCAATCTGCTTATGGAACTGGCCCCTATCAAAACCAGGATCTTTCTGTAAAAGAAGGGAAAGAGATAGGAAATATGTGAATGCCTCATAGGAACCTATTTTCTTTCCCAGTTAGAAACTTTCTAATAAAGTGAGTCCACATAAGGGTTACTGGGCTTGGTAAAGTCAACTAGCACTCTGTGAACTCCTGCTTTTACAGATGAGAAACAGAGAACAAGAAAACATCTAGTTTTCTATCTCAAACTCTGGGCTCCAGTGTTCCATTTGGAAACAAGAACTCTGTGGATATGTTGGAGCCACATGATGTACACAGTACACACTAATGTGATCTACCACCACTGTACATTTCTTTCAAACCCATTCAAACCAGGTTCTGCTGTCCATATGTGGGAACTTGCTTTTGCTGGCTAACTCAAGTCAGAGGGTATTAGCCATTCCCTCTTGGCTTTGTCAGGACCAATCAGATAAACCATCAGAAATGTCTTCTTTATGTAACCAGGTTGAGGTTCCCAGGACTTACCTTGAAGAGTTCATATAGGTCCTCCTCCAAGTCTTTGACAAAGTTAGGGTCTGATATCTTTGGAAGAATCAGATCTTTGATCTCCTGAGAGAATGGGACTTTTGCCTGGGGCAACCAGGCCCAGTAAAAGGGATCTGAAAAGAGGAAAGGTCAAAACCAAAGCTGGTGACTGGAAAAGTCCCTGCTCATCTTCTGTCTTCTATCAGGGCACTTTCAAAGACAGAACCCCTCTTCCCTGATACATAACAAAAAAAGAATACTTACAAATGCTATTAACCATAAAGGTTGTATGGATACTAAGTAGAGGAACCAGGATTCAAACCCAGATCTGCCTAATCCTGGAGCTCTTTCCCAGACATTTTGTGCCCTTACATGATAAAAGACGGTAGAGAAGCAACTACCCACCCTGAGAGATTAAGATGGTCTGAAAATGAAGACAAGTGCTGCAAAGGGGACAGTGACTCCCTACTTGTTTTTTCTCCCCCTTTCCAAAAGCTTCTTACTTATAATCAATAAGGAAGATATCAATAAGTAAGACCAGACACTGGTAGCTGCTATAGTGACTCAAATAGAATAAAACATAAAAAGATAGTTCTCAGTTCTACAAAAGAATGAGAAGCATGCAAAGTGGACATGAAAAAACTCATCTTTGTGCTTCTAATTTCTCTTCTCTCTCTCTTTTCTTTCTTTTTTTGGGGTGTGGGAGATTGAACCCAGGGCCTTGTGCTAGCACTCTACCATGTAACTATACCCCTAACTCTCTCTGTTTCTAATTTTTAATCACCCATATGCCTCCAGTGAGAATAATATAAGTAAAAATTAATAATAATTTACATTATGGAACAGCTGCCATTGTATTAAAGGCTGAGATGCATTACTTCACTAATTCTTAGAATGGTGCTATAATAGAGGTATTATTATCTACACTGTACAGTAAGCAAACTGAGACTGAGCAAGGGAAAAGCCAGACCAGTGTTCTTAAGACTTACATGCCCTCCAAGAGTCAGGATGCTTCAGTGGGAAAGCCAGCCCATTGTCTATGGCCGCCACCTTGATAACAGGTTCCTTTACCACCACCCAGTCTGTATCCTGCAGAGCAAGGAAAGACTAGTTAGTGAGAAAGCCCATCTGCCTCAGACCCTGTAGGGTAGTAGCAAAGCAACCCATCTCACCCAACTCAGACACCAATCCTTCTTCAAATTATTTGGAGCCATTCTCTGAGCTGGTTTCTGTACTGTTACCTAAACCTGGTACATTTATGGCACCTCAGACTCTGCTTGATCAAGTTCTCTGTGTTCCCTTCTTATCATAGGAAAAGATAATGACCAAAACAAAGATAATCATATGACAATTCTCCTAAAGATGGGCACTGAGAATCCACTAAATGGAAAAGAAGAAAAGTCCACTTCAGGTGGCCAGAGTCCTTTTTAGTGGACTTTGACTCAAATGCCATTTCATTGGTGATGACCAAATTTTCTAGTGAAATTTCAGATCCACAGAAGATGACAGTTGGCTTTTCTTACACAAAGAAGTCTATTCTCCTGCTTCAATGATACATAAAAAAGAAAAGGACCACAGTTAAATGTAAAAAGTGGCAGGCCACCTGTGATAGCCCATGATAGGGACACTCACTATGTGGCTCTATACTTTAGGTTCACCATTGCCATCACAGGAATAGGGACTGTGGTTCTAGACACCGCATCAAATCCGTTAATTTTTAAGTGTGGAATCCCAAGTTTTGCCCTACACCTGATGAATCAATTTCGGAGGTAATGGCCTGAGGAATGTACTATTTTAGTTTGTTTTGTTTTGTTTTATTTTGCAGTGCTGGGGATCAAATTCAGAGCCTTATATGAGCTAGAAAGGTGCTCTACCACTGAACTACAACTCTTCTAATAATTCAGGCATAAACTTTTGGAGCCAGTGAGAGAAAGAAATAAAACCACCAGGAGAAATAAAAACTGGGGCCAGGTGTGATTGTACACATCTGCTACTCAGGAGGAGGAGAAAGGAGGATCACAAGTCACAGGCTAACTTCAACAACTTATTGAGATGAGATCCTGCCTCAAAATTTAAAAAAAATTAAAAAATTATTTAAAAAGGACTGGGGATGTAGCTCAATAGTAGCAAGCCCCTGGGTTCAAGTCTCAGTATTGCAAATAGGAAGAAAAAAAAAAAAGAAAGAAAAAAAAAAAGGAAAACCAGGGCTAGAGGTTAGTCCAGAGTAAAGCACTTTGCTTTATGTGGAAATTCATGTATTCAGTCCCCAATAATAGTGAGAGAGAGAGAGAGAGAGAGAGAGAGAGAGAGAGAGAGAGAGAAACTTCCTGCTACTTTTAAAAGACATGTAGACAAAATAGTGATGGAGAAGAGTAGCAGAGGATGAGAGGAACAGGAGAGAAAGAAAGGTACAGAAGCAGCTGTTTCTAAACTTAGTTCTGTAGAATGATGGTCAATTGTGAAAAAATGTTCCATGGTTTGAAAAGGGTGTAATCACAGGACCAAACAAAATTAAACAGGTTTGTTTCACACAATACTTCTCAGACCTTTTCTATACTACTATGCAATGTGAAACTCAAAGGAACAGAATGTGTTCCAACTATGTTCCAAACTTACTTGGTCCTTTTCTCATGCTATTCCTATTAAAATTAGTAGGATGATCCTTAAAACACACTGAGAGGGCTGGAGGTGGGACTCAGTGGCAGAACGGCTGCCTAGCATGTGTGAGGCACTGAGTTCGATTCTTAGCACCCCAAATCAATAAATTAAATAAAGGTCCATTGACAACTAAAAAAAATATTTTTAAAAAAACACACTGAGAAAAACTATACCAAATATTAACCTATTATTTTAAAGCCTTGTTCTTCCCCAATTCTTCTAAACTTATATGACAATACTGTGTGCTTATGTATTATAAAGATATTCCTTTTCATGCTCGAGATATAGACCAACCTCTTACCCGAGAGCCAGAACTATCCATTGGATAGTCATATTTAATCAGCCAGTTGTCATTGCCTCGATCTGTAAACAGAAATATAAAGTTAGCAGAAATAATCAGGGTGACTTTTTAATTTAACTAAGGTGGACTAGGTATTTTGAACACCTGGACCAACCCTTCTATTGAGAGCAACTACAGAAAATGGATAAAATATTTCAAAATCTCTGGAAGGCATTGGTTTTAACCAGACTATAAGAACTTAAAAATCAAGTTCTAAGAGATAAAGAAAATCCAGAAGAAGGGTCCCAGGATTTGTGGTTTCTTTTCCCTTACAAACCTACTGATTTGGGAAGAGATGTGACTAGAAGGTTGAGAAGTAGAACAGTGTTCTAATAGTCTTATATGGCTAGTGAGTCAAAAGTTATAATCTAGTCACTGATAGGGGAAGGGGACACAATGGTAAATCATCCATACTGTGGGTTGAGACCTAAAGAACTATCTATACCATGTAAGCAAGCCAGCACCCTCTCAGTACCTGAAATTAAAGTGATTCTTGGTGGCTAGTGTGCTTGCTGCTTGCCAAAAGCAAACTTCTTCGTCCACACAGGATTTATGCCAGCGAATATTTCTACAATTTCTGATAAAGAGTATCTGATCGCCAAAAATAACCAGATAGACAAACAGACAAAATGAAATGAATAAAAACAGAGAAACATGAGAAAATTAAAGCTGTCTATAGTGTCTCCAAACCATGTAAACATCTTACATAGATTTTTAAATGTTCAAGTAAAATATTTAATACGTTTTAAGGTAAAAAACAAAATTAAGAGTTTCAGTAGAAAACAAGAATATGTAAAAAAGGAATAAAAAATTCTAGAAGTAAAAAACTAAAAATTACCAAAAATAAAATTTCAGTATGGTATATGAATTTAACAGTAAATCATGCTGAAGAGGGAGATAGTGACTTGGAGACAGTAAATAAGAAAATAACCAGAAAAAAGCACACAGGAATTAAACAATGCATGCATAGTTTTATCTAACAGCATGTAACTGAGTCCTAGGAGAGAAGAGAAAACTAGGGCAAAAGTTAATATTTTAAGAGATAATATCTGAGACTTTCCTAAACTGATAAATAAAACTACAGATTCAAGATGCCCTGTGAATCCCTAGTAGGAGAAATACAAAGAAAACTACACATAGGCTATCCTAGGAAAACTTTTGAAAACCAAAGATAGTGGGAGAGCACTTGCCTAGCATGCCCAAGGCCCTGGGTTTAATCCCTAGTACAGGGGGAAAAAAAATCTCCAGGACAAGATGAACCCAAATAGAAGTTTAGACATGCAGGAAGAAATAAGAGCAATAAAATAGGTAAATAAGTTAGGAGATCTAGATAAATATTGCCAATTTTGTTTAGGTAGGATAGTTTGCATGCTTTTTTTTTTTTTTTGGTATCGGGGATTGAACTCAGAGGCACTTGACCACTGAGCCACATCCCCAGCCCTATTTTGTATTTTTATTTAGAGACAGGGTCTCTCACTGAGTTGCTTAGTGCCTCACTTTTGCTGAGGCCAGCTTTGAACTTGTGATCCTCCTGCCTTAGCCTCCCGAGCCACTAGGATTATAGGCATGCACCACTGCACCCGGCTTGCATACTTTTTTTTTTTTTTTTTGAGTTTTGTTTTGTTTTGTGATACTGGGAAATCGAACTCAGGGCCTCACAGTGCCAAGCAAGCACTCTACCAGTGAATCACTTTCATGGCCGAAGAGTTATCTTTTAGAGATATATATTGAAACTAATAGCTGGTTTCTGAAAATATCAACAAAATTGACAAACTTGTAGCTAAAAGGACCAAGAAAAAAAAATTTAAAGGCTCAAATTACTAAAATCAGAAATAAAAGCACAGATATTACTACCAATTCTACAGAATTTTTTTAAATTACATGAGAACACTATAAACAACCATATGCCAACAAATTGGATAACCTAGATAAAATAAGTAATTTCCTAGAAATACGAAACCTACCAAGATTAAACCACAAAGAACTAGAAAATCTCAAACTGGGTGTGGGTAGTGCATGTCCATAATCCCAGCTACTCAGGAACCTGTTAGAGAATCTCAAATTCAAGGCCAGCCTGGGCAACATAGCAAGACCCCCATCTAAAAGAAAGAAAGAAGAAAAAGAGAGAGAGAGAAAAATCTCAACAGACTTACACCTGTAAGGAGACTGATTTGGTAATCAAAAATTTCCTACTGGGCATAGTGGTCTATATTTGCATCCCACCACTTGAGAGGTTGAGGTGAGTATGTTGCTTGAGATCAGGATTGGAGAGCAGCCTGGGGAATGTAGCAAGACTATCTTCAAAAGCAAACAAACAAAAAATTCCCAGGTGTGATATTTCTCTGGTAAATTCTACCAAACATTTAAAGAAGTAACACCAATCCTTCTTGAACTTCAAATCATTCCATGAGGCCAGCATTACCCTCAAAATGAAGCCAGAAAGAGATAATACAAGAAAACTGTAGACCAATATCTTTCATGAACACTGATGTAAAAATCTTCAACAAAATACTAGCAAGCTGAATTAAGCAGCATATTAAAAGGATTTCAGACAATGCACAAATAAAATTTATTCATGCAATTCAAGGAGAGTTGAATATATAAAAATCAGTCACAAAAAAAATACATGATCCTCATACTCAATATAGAAAAAGCATTTGACAAAATCTAACACCCTTTACAACAAAAACACTCACCAAGCCAGGAATAGGGAACTACCTCAATATGTATAAATCAACCTACAGCAAACACCATATTCGATGGTAAAACACTGAAAGGTTTTTCTCGAATCAAGAAAAAGATAAGGATGCAATTGCTTTTACAACTTCTATTTAATACAGTACTGGAAGTCTTAGACAACGGAATTAGGCAAGAAAAAGAAATGAAAAGGCAACCAAATCAGAAAGGAAACACTAAAATTCAAACGTTTTTTGCAGAAACAAACAAAAAAACTATCTTAAAATTTATGAAATCTCAAGAGACACCCAAATAGCCAAAACAATCCTGGAAAATGATAAAACTTGAAGACCCACCCTTTCTAACTTAAAAACTTACTATAAAACTATAGTAATCAAAATAGTATGGTAATGGTATAAAGAGAGACATACAGACCAATGGAACAGAATTAAGAACTCAGCTAGGTATAGTGGTGCATGCCTGTAATCCCAGAGGCTTGTGGCTCAGTGGTGGAGCACTAGCCTACCATGTGTGGGGCACTGGGTTTGATCCCCAGCACTACATAAAAATAAATAAATAAAATAAAGGTATTGTGTCCATCTACAACTAACAAAACATTTTTTAAAAAGCTAATCTCAGAAACCTAGGCGCTAAGCAATTCAGTGAGACCCTGTCTCTAAAACACTAAAAGGGCAGGGGATGTGGCTCAGTGGTTTAGTGCTCCTGGGTTCAAGCCCTAGCACCACTACCCCCAAAAAAAGAGCCCAGAAATGAACCCTGATATGTATGCAGCCAAATAATATTGACAAGGGTGTCGAGATCATTCAGTGGAAGAAAAGGCAGTCTTTTCAACAAACAGTGCTGAGGAAACTCAATACACATTTGCAAAAGAATGAAATTGGACCCTTAATACCATGTACTATATATTTAATTCAAAATGAATCCATGATCTAAATGTTACGGCCTAAAAATATAAAATTCTTAGGAAAAAAAAAACAGAGCAAAAGCTTCATGACACTGGATTTGGCAATGACTCTTAAAAATATGAAAGATACAGGAAAAAAAAGAAAAATCTGTGTATCAAAAGATACTATCAACAGAGTGAAAAACCAATTGGAGTTGAAGAAATTAATAGCAAATCATACATCTGATAAGGGATTAACATCCAGAATATACAGGGAACTTCAAAAACTGAACAGTAATAAAATAAACAAACCAATTCAAAGTGGGATGGGGATTTAGCTCATTGGTAGAATGTTTGCCCTGGGTCCCACCTCTAATACCACAAAATAAGTGAATAAATAAATGAGCATCGGACTTGAATAGACATTTGTCCAAGGAGGATATACAACTGGCCAGCCAATAAGCATATGAAAATAAGTTAAATATCACTAATCATCAGAGAAATGCAAAACCAAAACTATAATGAGCTTGGCAAGGTAGGGCCACCTGTAATCTTAGCAGCTCAGGAGACTGAGACAGGAGGATCACAAGTTCAAGACAAGCCTCAGCAATTTAGTGAGACCCAAAGCCACTTAGTGAGACCCTGTCTCAAAATAAAAATAAAAAAGGGCTAGGGATGTAGCTCAGTGGTAAAGTGCCCCTGGACTTAATTCCCAGTACCAAAAGCAAACAAAGAAAGTACAATGAATGGTTACTATTTAAAAAAATAAATAAATAAATAAAAACAAAAAACAGAAAATAGGAGGGCTGAAGTGTGGCTTAGTGATAGAATTCATGTTTAGTAAGTGTGAGGTCATGGGTTCAATTCTTAGCATCTATCCCTCCCCACAAAAAAAACAAAAACAAAAACAAAAAAAAAAAACAGAAAATAGTGTTGGCAAGATGTAGAGAAATTGGAATTCTTGTGCATTGTTGGTCAGAATGAAAAATGGTATAGCCGCCATATAAAATAGTATGGTAGTTCATCAAGAAATTACTAATAGAATGACCATGTATGATTCAGCCATTCCACTTCTGGTATATGCTCAAACGGAATGCAAGCAGGAATTTGAAGAGATACATGTTAATTCATGTTCTTAGCAGTGTTATTCACAAGAACTAAAATATGGAAGTAACCCAAGTGCTCATTAATAGATAAATGTATAAGCAAAATGTGGTATTCACATTAACTGGAACATTGTTCAATCACTAGAAGGATAATCATTGTTCAAAGGAAGGACATTCCAACACATGCTGCAACATAGATGAATCCTGGGGACATTACACCAAGTGAAATAAGTAAATCATAAAAAAGGCAAATATTATATGATTCCACTTTTATGAAGTATTTAGAACAGTCAAAATCAATGGGGCTTGTGGGGAGGGAGAATGGAGAATTATTATTTCATGGGTACAGAGTTTCATTTTACAATTTGAATTCTCCAGAAAGAGTTTGTTTTAGAAATGGATGATGGTGGTAGATGCACAATAATATGACTGTGCTTAATGTCACTGAACTGTACACATAAAAATGATTAAGATAGTATCTTACCACAACACAAAATACTGGAAAAAATATAGTTCAAAAAAGCATAAATTTTGTCAGGTTAAATGAACTAAAATTAAAATTGCACCAGAATTTTTTTTTTAAATCACTGATGATTATGCAGCCATCTCAAAAAGTCAGAAAAAGACAAAATTAGCCAGGCATTGAGGCCTATGCATGTAACCCAGCAACTCAGAAGGCTGAGATAGGAGGATCGCAAGTCTGAGGCCAGCCTCAGCAACTTAGCAAGTCCCTGTCTCAAAATGAAAAATAAAAAGGACTGTGGATATGGCTCCGTGGTAAAGTGCCCATGGGTTCAATCCCTAGGACCAAAAAGAAAAGGAAAGACAAAAGTGTCCTGTGGTAATATCTTAATGCTCTAAGAACGAATTGGGATAAAGGGTAAGCGTGCTCTTCAGCGTTTTGGAAGAGCCAGGTATTTCTGTCTGGCACCTGGAAAGAGGCAAGGATAAAATGGCTCCAGGCCTTACCATTTCTAAAAACTACATGCTTTGTCTGCACAAAGCTTAATTTGGAAAAGTATTTTCTTAGATCCTCTCTAAATGCATATGACCCTTCTAACATAGGGTCAAGTTCATCCTGACAAGGCACTGTGACTCCCAAGCCCTGTACATCACCAGGCCTTCCCCACAGCTGCTCACCAGTGTTGCGGATAATGTAATCCAGCACCACTAAGCGCTCAAACTGCAGCAGTAGTTGCCGGTTAGTGTTCTCAGGGAGAGGTTCTGCTTCAAAACGCCGCAGCCAGTAGTCTGCATCTTTGTAGCCTTCAACAAAGAGCTGGAATGAACCAACCTGCAACCAAGAAGAAGGAACAAAATCATGTCCCTGCAGCCCAAGTCCAAAGACTCTAAGGGTATGCAGGGACCCACTAAGCTCCTGTGGTGTTCACATGAGAGACAGGGAGATTTCCAAGATCCTCATATCTTCATTTCCTTGAAAGTACAGGAGATAAAGTTTGTGACAGAGATCATCCATTCACTTTGTAAAAGAAGCCTTTTATAAATGGTCCAGAGATTAAAGTGAGAAGTTAGGTTTCTCAACAGAAACAAAGAAGATAGAAACCTCAGGGCAGGCTACTCACAAGCCGATATTCAAGTTGGTGGGCATGTTGCTTCCCCACTTGAATGAGTGCTACCATAAACCATCACATTAGATATGCCAAACAAGTGTAATCTATACCTTTGGTGGTAGCCCAATGCGGTTAAACCGCTGTCCAACTTTTGGCACTTTCTGTAGCGCAAGTCGCTTGCCCCTGGACTTCACTCGGTCAATGGCACTATAGTTGAAGGTTTCACTGGCCAGGTATACTACCTACAGTGGAAAGAGAAGAGATACCCAGGTTAGAGTCAAGTTTAAGGAACCAGACCATCATGGGAGAGAATAGCAAGATGCCCACCAATACTGGTTCTCTTCCAGGGCACACAAAAAATAAATAAATGAGTAAGTACAATGCATTTTTTAGCCTACCCAGCAACTAGGACAGGGAATATGACTAGTTTGGACCAACTGGATGTTGACAAAGTGATGTAGGCATACCACTTCCAGGCTTGGTCTCTAAAATCTCTCACACTCCTTAGTTCACATTTCCCCATCTCTGTAGCTGGAAATGAAGGGTTCTGAGATGGTACAACCACACAATGGAAGGATAATATATCTCTTGTCATTACATGAGTGACGTGGGGGGATATGAGAGAGCTGCCTAACAGACATGAGCAAAAATTAATTCCTATTATATATATTAAACCACTGAGATTCAGGGATTGTTATGCAACTAATGTGAATTACCCTTAACTAATAGTTACCTCGTGCATTAGAAGAAGAGGCCCAAAGTCTACTTTCTTTCCAAATACAAACATACTACAATTTCTACTCTGTATCTTTTTGTTTCCTTTTAAATGTTGTGCTTTGTGCCATTATTCATATTTTAAAAAGAAACATGAAAGCTGAGTACAGTTGTGCATGCTGATAATTCCAGCAACTCCAGAGGCTCAGGCAGGAGGATTACAAGTTTAAAGCCAGCCTGGGTAACTTAGTGAGATCCTGTTTCAAAAAAATTTTTAA